CTGTCTCTTTGTATCTTTCTTTCCTTTTTGCTTTGAAAGAAGAGAACAAAAGATAAAATTCTGAAAAAAAATGAGTAATAAAAGAAAAGGCTTTTATGTGAAAGAACGGCATGTAACACTACTTTCAAAAAGAATGTAGGCACTGTAGAGATGATGTAGTTTTACTGTGTGTTGATGATAAAATAAGCTAATGTCCTGCTTTAAACAAGTGGACAAAAACGTGCAGCTTTGTGATGTACATGTACAACACGTGCAACATGTGGTGTAGTTCAGCTGGAAAATCCTCACTGCAATGGCCGGCCCACGTTTGAATTAGACCCTTGGCCCTTTGCTGCACGTCATCCCCCTCTTTCCCTCTTTCTCCCCAGTTTTCCTGTTTCTCTCGCTGCAGTTACAATAAAGGTATGAAAAGGAAACTGACTACTACGACTGACTGACTGACTGACTGACTGACTGACTGACTGACTGATCATGTTTGCTCCACTGGGTCAGCCGAGTGCCTCGTCACTGAGTTGGTGATGACTTATGTTAAAACCTCATCTCAACATAAACGAAATGAGAAAAAAATAATAAATAAAAATAATAATAGTAATCATAGGAACATTAAGCTGCTTGGAGATGGTCTTGTAGCCTTGACCCTGTTATTTTCTTCCTTATCTCATCAGACAACTCTTCTCTTTGTCTTGTCCATGTGCAGTGTGGTTCTGCTCTATTTAAATAGACTGATTATAAGAATGAGGACAACTGAGAGGCAATAGTCTAGCTTGAAATATCACTGTTCCCTCCCCATTAGCTGACACTCAGCTGTGCAGTAGGGGTGGGCGGCAGATTGAGGCTGAGGGCTGCAGATATGGGTCAGCTCTGATGGATGGCAGACAGACTTCACTGCTATTAATGGAAAGGAAAGGTCTGGCCGCCCTGCAGATATCTTATAGATAGACAAATATAAAGCAATAGTCAGAGATTGAAGTGAGTATAAATAATGATGGAGAGCTCCTAATTACGCAACAAAGCCCAGAATAACTTCAAACATCAGAACAGACATTTACTGCAGTGACATCAGCCCCCACAGGAATAAAAGGGCAAGAGGGTTATGGAAAGAGGCGTGCTCTGTTCACGAAACATGAAGTAAACTGCAGCAACTCAGAGCTGAGAAGTAAAATGGTAATTTCCATTAGTTTTAAAGGCTTACTTTACTATTATTCACCCTTTTCCCTCTGGTGGTATCGTTTCATTCAGGTAGCTTTAGTTTTAGTTGTCCAGGTTTTGATTTAGACCTCGACCTCGGTTATATAGAATTGTGTTTGTGTTGCTTATTTCCAGACGCAGTGTAACTGTGGATAATCCACAGAAAACACTGGAGGAGTATTTGGTTCAAAGTAGTTCCCATGATATTTGGGGTATATTGTGAAAAACTCACAATCCAGTGTCACGTCACAAACATAATCCGCTTTGTGTCTCCTAAGATATGTTTAGAGTAAGAGGCCAGCTGGAGTAGGCTGATGCAGAAAACTTACACGTAATTACCTCTGGTCTGCTACACTTTCCTCACAGGTTTACTTCTAAAGACTGTGGCCTGACTACAGCTAATACAACAAGCTGGGACTGAGTCTTTGGACTTTGGCTGCTCTCGATAACAGATATCACCTGTTTTTAGATCTTTAGATTTTACAGGGAAAGAGAGGGTGGATGTCAAGTGCTCTGACTTGGATCAAACTGGGGACACTGTGATCACAGTATATGCATACGTATAGGAATATAATGTATTTCTTTGTATTGTGTTCCAGTTAGTTGAAGACTTGATTACAAAATGTGACTTCTTGTCACAGTGAGGAGGTTCTGGGTTTGGACCCCGGGGCCTGGGGCCTTTCTGTGAGGAGTTTGCATGTTCTCCCCGCGTCTGCGTGGGTTCTCTCCGGGTTCTCCAGCTTCCTCCCACAGTCCAAAGACGCACATTAGTTTAACTGGCGACTCTCAAGTGCCCATAGGTGTGAATGTGAGCGTGACTGGTTGTTCGTCTCTATGTGTCAGCCCTGTGATGGACTGGCAACCTGTCCAGGGTTTCCCCCGCCCTCACCCAGTCTCAGCTGGGATTGGCTCCAGCCCCCTGCGACCCTATAAGGATAAGCAGTATGGATAATGGATGGATAGATGGACTTCTTGTCTGTAAAGACAAGAGTGTAAGTTGATTTTGGTTTTTATGGTCCATGCTAAGGGAGGTCTTTACCTGATGTACTCCAACATTAACACCGTTTAAAGGCAAACTGATAACATTCATTTTGATCCTGACTATTTCAGTAGGTTCGGCTTTGTTGCGTGTTTTTACTGCATCTGATTATTGTTGATTAGTTCATCAGTTTTTCTGTAAAGCATGTTGTATTACAAAGTTCTGTTTGCGCTATAGTAACCCCAATCCCCAAGACATGAGACTGTAACCAGATTGGAACACAGGAGACAAGACACAAATGTTTTGATCCCGTCTGGACACATCTGTATGGTGGTAGCATGTAGCACAGTTATCTCACTGAGCTGTGCTAAAAGATCCTGTCAGATGGTTCAGCACAACAGTGGCTCCTGTGTCTTACACCACCAACACATGTTGTCAGTGACTGTCCACCCCCACCTCACCCCCCTCCTCTGAAAAGAAGCTTCATCTTATCTCTGGTGGGTCTAAAACATCTGTACACACACCTGGACTCACTGAGGGCAGCCCTCATCAAACACAGCAGGCGCAGTATCCTGGTTTGATATCAGCCAACAGCTTTCTGCGGCTCAGACCGCTGTGGAGAGGCCCCCGTTCTGCTGCAGCAGCAGCAGCACACTGATCCATGACTGTTACTCTCACTCTCACTCTTTGTGTCTGAACACAGCTGCCATGATGATGCAGTACTGTCTCTGCAGGCTGGGGGTGCTTCAATTCAGGTGTGGCAGATTAAACTGCCAGGTCCAGGTGTCAGGAAAGGATAGGATAATATATGAGGGACTACTTTTTCTCTCAGTAATGCTTGGTTAATGAGGCTGACAAAATATTTCAAAGAGGATAATTCCAGTGCATTACTGTATGTCTTATTTACACAGTTTAATCCATCATTCCCTCAGTTGTGACAACACTGTGCTCTGAGTTCTGGGAACATGATGGTATCACTAAAAAGAAGTCCTGAGCACAGTCAGGTTGGAAACAAGCCAACAGTTTGTCCAGATGATCTAAAACACTTTATTTTGAGATCAAGCTGAAATGTCTTTCATTTCACTGTGTCTACACAACTGCAGTACATACAGCAGGTCAAAGCTGAAGCAGAAAGTGGGTCTGTAAATTGTGATGGATGTTTATCCATGAACATCTTGGGTAATCATTTTAATGTTTTCCGTGCTAACCGGCTAACCGTGCTGCAGGGCAGTAAAAGTTCTGAAATACCTTTAGTCTTCCTTTTCCCCATATGCCATAATTTGACCTTTCAAAAAAAAAAAAGATGGTTTGTGGTTGTTTGTTATTATTTTTAATGTACAAAGGTAAAATACACCTAATCCTGGCACCACAGAACCTCGAGAAACAGGAACCCATGATGGTTTTAAACCTCCACAAGCACAAACCAGCAGCACTGGCTCTAGTCTGGTGGGCATGAGTTCCCCAGCCCTGTGGAGGTGTTCTTTGAGATACTCTGTTGTTATAGTAAAGATGAATGAATGAAAAATGAATAAGCCTTTGTTTACATAGTGCCACACAAGAAATTAAATGAAGGCTTCATCATTTATCTGAGGATGCTATGTTTTGTAATCCCTTTTGCATCAAGAATGGATCTCACTGAAGTTCATGAAATACGACAGAAAAGTGTAACAGATCATGATGTTCAGTGACTCCAATGCACAGACTGCAGCAGTCCACAAAAGATCGAGCAGCTGCAGTTGAATCTTTTTGTGCCATCTGGTGGTGAATATGTGACAGTGCACCTGTGCAACAACCTTCGCCCCCTCTGTTTCCTTCAGTGTTCAGTTGATAGTGTGTACTGTAGGAGGCCAACTGTATGTCCATGGTTCTTCGCTGACTGTAGAGAATGTAACTGGATCATGTCATTTCTATTATCATGGTGAAGATAAACGACCGAGCAGAAATGTGTCATTCACTTTGAAGTTGTGTGAAAGAGCCCACGCAAGGAAAGAAACCTGGATCGCTAGTCATGGTGCTTTCAAGGTCTATAGAAACATGGTAGAATTTACCCCACAGACCCTACATAGAGAGAATCTATGTCCATATTCTTCATACAAGATACTGTTTCTGTTTTGTTTGTTTGTTTTTTTTGTTTTTTTATCTTAGCTTTTCAGTATGTGCAATTTTGTAAAATTTTGTATATAAAATTAGTACCTGAAATGTGTGTAGAAAGAAATTTTAAGCATTGAGCTTATTGCAGTCATGTGTGTGTTGTTACCAAGTGCTAATTCAGATTTAGTTGAAATTTTTTAACTGGACTATCTATGGTCTCAAATGTACGACGGAGTATAAGGGCCACATTGAGGGAAAAAAAATATTACAGAAATATTATGACTTTTTTTCTAGAAATATTATGATTTTATTCTCAAAATAAAATTCTCTCTCTTTATTCCTGTAATGTTTTTACTTCATTCTCGAAATTTCTGATTTTTTTGCTCAATGTAGCCTCGCCGTACAAATGCAGAAACATGATTGTAAAGAATGTGGGGGTTTTGGCTGGACAGAGAGGAAGATTTATCCCATCTACACCCATTTACACAAGTGGAAAACTTGACACAAGTCTTTCCAGCATTCTGTTGTAAAAATAAATAAGGTATCAGTAATTTATTTTATAGCAAAAGCTCTCACATTAAAATGGCCTGACACTAAGCTTGTTTGCTCAAATTTAGGTTTGTAATTTACTTAATAAAAGTTGAAGAAGCAGCCGGAGTTGTCTTTATTCCCATGTGGCGTGAAGGCATCATGAGGTAATTTACTGTAAGCAGAGCAGGTTATTTCCCCATAGAGCAGGAAGTTTTTCATTAATAATCGACGGCGTCAGTCACAGCAGCTCATGGTGTCTTCGCTGTAGTTCAGACCGCTGTCGTTTGAAAGTCTGTTTGTAATAGTTTGTAATGGCAGAAAACAAAGACTTTCTACACGAGGACTGATATTGTGACTGAATCTTGAGGATGTTTCTTCCAGGGGTTTTGGTTTTACTGTGTGCGTCACTGTCGTCCGCGGTGAAGGTGTTAACATGGCCGCCCCTCAACTGCTCCAAACAGGTAAGCACCGCCTGACAACTGGGAAGGAAACGAAGATATTTCAGCATTTATTTATCTTGACCATGAGTGTTCTGTCTTTAGAAGGTGTAGAAAGTTTTATCCAACAGAACAAATAATTCTTATCTCTACATGTACAGCTACATGTGTAGTGAAGTATAGACTTTCTCTAACAAATTTTGTGACACAATAACTACAGGAAGCACAGTGGTGATGAGATGCTGTTATCTAAAGCACTACGTGTAATCGATGAAAAGTTGGAGTAAGAATGATACAATTCTCTTTTCTAATTTTCTCTTTTGCTTTTGTTTTTTCCTGCCACAGGATTTGGAGTGTAAAGTCACCACAAGTGAGTAAACGCTCCTCTTCTAAATCACTATTATCGTTACTTGCTGTTCAGTATTCTGTTTCCTCGTGACAGATTTGAGTTTTGGGGTGTTATAATAATATTGTTATATATTGATACCAATAAGTCACCAATCATCTATCAGCTATCTTAAAATTTAACTGAGTGTTGTGAAACTGTTTAATAGTTACCTGCATTAAATGAAGCAGAGCAGGGATTCCTGGCACAAGTTCACCTCCTACCAAGGTGGCTGACTATAAATAATCCTCTATACTTAAACATTTGCCTTTAAATTAAAAAATACATTTAAAAACAACTACAAACATGCTTTAAACACGTGTTTGATTGGATGTGCAAGGAAAAGCCAGATGTGATGTCAGGTTTTTCATTCAGTGTGTGTGTGTGTGTGTGTGTGTGTGTGTGTGCGCGCGCACGCATGCAGGTAACTGTATGGACAGGGGATGGCTGAATGTTTATAAATACACTCCCAGCGGTCCAGAGGATCTGCAGGTGTCTGTGGATACCAGGCAGGATGAAAGAGGACGTCTGCAGCCTGTGCTGAGCGCTAACTGGAAGCTTAAGGATGATGGTGAGTGGTGAAGAAACAGCTCGATGATCAGTGAATTTGTCTCTGTTGGAATTTCAGATTCAGAAACCAAAATAAATTTGGACAGTAGAGTTCAGATGATAAATCAAAAACTTGAAAGGATAATTCCAGTTTTTATGCTTCTACACCGGCGACAGCCAGAGCCGTCCGTCCCACTCTCGTTTACATGATATCTCAGTAACGTGGAATTTTTTCAGATTTGGGACAAACATTCACTTAGACTCAAGGGTGAACTGGTCAAAGGTCAAAGTCAGTGTGACCTTACAAACACGTTTTAAGCCATTACTCAAGACTTCACACGGCAATTATGACAAAATTTCACTCAAATGTTTCATATTTTCTATGACTGGATAAACAGGGATGTAACCAGAAACTAGTCTGAGTGGAGGAGGCAGACAATCGTGAGGAGTTGATTCTTGTGTCTTTTTAACAGTTTAACGATAATTTATATCAGCGAAAATAACACTATATATATCAAGTTAATAACTGTGCCCAACATCCCTCCTTATTTACTAAATATTGCCATATACTATATTTACCATCTAACATTTGATTTTAGTGTGTTCAGTGTGACATTTACTATGTAAATAAGTAAAGGTTAAGGAAAAAAGTATGGTCTACTACTAAGCAATGAGTCATATTCTATAGATATGGAGATTACACTTGAATTATGACACAAAGTGATTCATGAGTATCTGAAATGTCAATTTAGTGCTCATTATAAATTCAAATACTGAGTATTTTTAATGTAGAACGAGTGATTGATCTTAAAGGAGCTATTTGTAAGTTTTGCTATTGCTACATAACTAGCTTTAGCATTAGCAGCTGTTTACTTACCAGTCTAGAAGAAATTTAGCAAGTTCAGCATCAAACTGTTTTCCTTAACTCACCAACAGCTGTCTCCAGAAGTGGAAAGCAACACCTCTTGTCTCTATCATGTCTTTTCTACTACTGAAGCTAGCATGCTAACCAGCTAGCCCCGGGCCATATCGTCACTTTCCAATAGCAACTCACTGTAGCCTCCAATATTCCCTGAAGATTGGAGGACGTATTATAATCTCATGTCTTGTAAACACAACAATGGCTGAAGCTCTTATCAAGTGACAATCACCACCACCTGCTCCTGGCCAGAAACCAGAAATCGTTGGCATAGAAAACTTACAAATAGCCCCTTTAAGACTGAGCTAACAGCAGGTATATGGGAACATTGTGTTGTCACTAAAAAGATTTCTGACGAGGCAAGAAAGAATCAGAAAGTTGGAAACAAACCAACAATTATTTGGACGAGAAAGGGAAAGTGAATGGTTTAAAAAATTACCCTAACTGTCAGTATAAAGTGGGTTAGATAATCCAAATATCCAAAAATAAGACCCCCCCCCCAAAAAAAAAAAAAAAAAAAAAAAAAAAAACAAACAATGAACCATCCTTTAATGCAGCATATTGAGGACAGGAGGGAGCAGTGAGACATGAAGTGACCTCGGCTGTGCTGTGTCTCCTCAGGCAGTATCAGTTCCCTGACCGCCACTGAGCTCCACGTTCTGGTGCTGTCCACCAATCAGAACCTGTGTGTTCGATATTCACTCAAACACAGACTCCCAATGAGAAGTCCGTCAGGGGAAAAGGTTGGTGGCTCATTGAGTTATTCAGATTATATTCACATTTCATGGGCACACAGGTAGAAAACAGTTCTTTTTCATTTTCTAAATACATCATCATGCTCTTATTGTTTTTGTACATTGATAATCTAAATGAAGCAATGTTTGATCAACTATTTATGACCAGAATAAGAGTGAGACTGAGAATCTGACCAAACTTTTAGCACTAACTTTCATTACTTGACAGTCCTTACTCACTGCTGTGGACACAATTCAGTTCCCAATTTATAAAATAAATAATTAATTAATTCAACTGAGATTAGCAGAGACTCATCATTAAATGTTGCAGATCAGGATCAGAGAGAAACGCCCTCTGTCATAGCAACGCTGTTGTTTGTGCTAACAGTTTGTCAAAGTTTAACAGCCTGTTTTGTGTTTTGCAGTGGTCATTCTCAGCTAATATGGTGGTGGTGGACCCAGGTCAGAGGTACCGGGTCTCTGTATTCAACATCCCCAAACCTGAGCTGCGCCACAGCAGCTACAATGTCAACACTGATGTCATCGTTCCTGGTGAGTCAAAATCATCTTTTTGTTGTTGCTGCTGTTTTAGATTAAGCAGATTAAATTGTACTGGAAAGAGTCTGTCCTGGTCTGTTCATGCTCCTGCTTAGTTAGTTTGATTTCATTTTGACATGTCATCATCCTGCCATCTGTGACTCTGTTCATCTGTGACTCTGTAGACAGTACAATAACTCAAGAGCAATACACAATAGAAACTTCATACTTAAACCACAGGTACTCCATATGGAGATAAACTGATTAGATTTTGCTACATAAAGATGCATATTACTTTAATACTGTGAAAGTGCTCAGTCCACAGAGAAATGCACACAGCCTGTATTCAGGACTTCTGGAACTTTGTGATGTCACAATAAAGCAGTCACCACCCTCAGCCATGCTCCAAGCCCCGCCCACCTGGACCCACCATCCAAACTTGCAGGATTTGGTTTCTCTGAGTGTTTACCTGAAATCTGCTATATTTTTATTGGACACTCAGAAAACAGTCAGCAAAACTCATAAATTCATTCACTAATTATAACAAGATTTAACTCAAATGTGTATAAAGATAAAATGAAGTGATGACATTTTATATCCAAAAAGTTAAAGGTCAACTTCACTGTGACATCATAATTTTCTGCAGAAACATTTTTTTTTCCAACACCAAAAATAAAATGTGACATGATACATTAATGCAACTAAACAACAACTTTTTTTTCAGGAGAAACAAACAAACTAGGAAGATTTTGAGCGTCTGATTTCATCTCTTGACTTTGATTAAACTCTCTGATTCTTGTTTACTCAGATTGTCGAGATTCCATAATGCAGATGACCCAGTTTTGCATAGAGAGTGGTGAGTCGCTGACTGTCTTTTGTCCAGTTACAATGAGTAAATCATGTGAACCATTTCTAACATGCTGTTTTGTCGCTGCACTGTAGGAAGTCTGTGGCAGCCTAACATCAGTCTGGCTGAGGCCACCTCCGTCGGGGGAAGTTCTGCACTGACTGTCAGCTTCACTCCTGATGAACTGTGTGAGGAGTACATGGTTATCGTCAGGTGCTCCAGTTTTCAACAAGAAGTGGACCGTATATACAAGGTGAGGTCACATCATGATGCACATTCAAATGCCTCTGTATTTGAAGAGTACTTGTGCAATAGGCTGCCTCACACAGAAGATGAATGCAGTTTCCTTTTCAGTGATGTGACCCAGAACATTACTGTCAGTGCTCATTACGACATCCTGTGTGTTTTGTACCTTAGCCTAGTTTTTACCCCAGTTCTTTTTCTTTCTTTTCAAAGCAGGAAATTTGTCTGTTTCCTGCAATATTTTTCTGATGATTGTTCATTATATTTACAAACTACTTGAATGTATGTGACTCCACAGTCACAGATACATTTAGACTCACATATCTTCCTGCACAGTTCTGAAATTCTAACACTGCAGGGTCTCTGGTGTGTTAAGGTACCCTCACACTAGACATTATCTGAGGACTTAATTTGAGCTTCAGAGCATTGCTGCAGTTCATTAGGAGTGAGATGTCAGCATCTCCCTATATCCTTTATCAGAGTTATCACCCACTAGATAAAACTGCTGCCCTCCTGTTCAAAACACTGAAAAGGTGTTTCTAATACAGTATATAATCTGCTGTCGTTAAAACACAAAGCTTGATGGGATTTATTGGAGTTGATGTTAATGTGTTACACTGCATGTGAATCAAACAAAGTGTCAAACTGATGGGAAAATGCAAAGTGAGTTGCACAAGAGAGAGATGATGACATATGAGGTCATCATCAGTAACAGGAAAAGTTATTTTACAGGCATCTTGATTTTAGCTACACGCCTCTGTGATCGCCCAAACTGGGACAAAAATAGTTTCTCTGAGTGTTAACCTGAAATCTGCTATATTTTTATTGGATCACTCAGAAAACAGTCAGCCAATAAGAAGAGAGGCTCAGAGCCTCCTCTCTTCTGATTGGCTCACTGACCTGTTGTTTCTAGAGCTCCAGAGAGAGAGGAGATGTAAAACTACACTGAGATGGTTTTTTGCTTCTTAAACCACAAATACATATTCTTATAGATCAACACTTCAAATAAAACACAGAAGAAGTATAAAATATGGACCTTTAAATGATGCAGCTCAATAATTAAACTAATCACATGAAAAAAATGTCTTCTCCAGGGCAATCGCACGACTCTGAATACAGCGTTCAGCCTTGATAAATGGCCAAGCTCCTGCTGCCTGTTTCACGTTGAGGTAAATCTTTTCACATCTTTTCTGCTCAGTGATGTTTGTGTGTTACTGAACTCCATGATCTCATTTGACCTTCATGTTAGAGTTAACATGACTTCATTCTTCACTGCAGATCAAACCTCTATTCCTACAATGTGGCCCGGACTGTGTCCGTCAGAAAGCAACTCTGGATATTTGTCATGGTATGTTGGCAGCTATGGAATATCAATATCAAGGTAAAGTAGGAGAGTGACTGAATGCTCTTTCTGGTGATTACACAACAGTGTCTTAGCCTCACCACCAAAGCGCTTAACTACCCCTGCCCCTCAGTGCTCAAGCCATACCTCAGAGGTCTGTAAGAGATTCTCATGTAACACCATTATGGCTCATGTATACATACAAAGGACATACAAAGGAGTGTTGTTGAACAGCCTCACGTGCTTTCAATGGCAGTTGGCCATGTGAGTGAAATTCTGTTGTCAACATTCTTCACATTCTCAAACCTCAACCGTCTGTGCTCACTGCTGATCCACAGTGATCGCCTCTGTGCTGCCAGTGAAGAGGAAGTGTGCTGATAGATAGATAGATAGATAGATAGATAGATAGATAGATAGATAGATAGATAGATAGATAGATAGACTCTCCCTATGTTGAGACTCCATGTTTTCGAATTCAGAATATGCAGCTGCTTGTTATCGGAATATCTTGTTCACATCCAACCATGGAAAACTATACAAAAATTCATGGTACTTAATCCAATAGCCATAGCAACAGACTGAGTAACTTTGCCAACCCTAGACCATCGTCAGTATTATGACTAAGACAGCACCTTATGGGATAGCTTCAACAAATCATCATCAAATGAATCAACTGTGTTCTGTTTTTCACAGTTCCTCCAACAGACTCCCCAGATGATCCTTCGTTCATATTCGTCATCCTCGGAGTGGGAGTGATGTTCATGTTTGTAGTGATGGCAGTCATGCTGTTTGTCTTCTGCAGGAAGCCAGGTTAGTCTCAAATAAAAATTCTATTGTATCTCCATTGAGTTTTAACTTCAAACTCTTCTCATTTCAGTTAAAAATTTTTAGTTTTTTCGATTTGTGCTTTTGTTGTCATTGGTTTAAAATAACTCCTACTTTGCTGATGGCATATCTGTGCTCTTGTGCACTTTCAGTCAAAGCTGGTGCTGCTGAACCTCTTGTGGGAGGTGAGAATCTGCAGCAGATTAAACAACCTCCCAAAGTGCTGCTCATCTACTCCCATGACCACTACCTCTACAGGGACATAGTGCTAAAGCTCTGTGCCTTCCTCAAGATCAAGTGTGGCACCAGGGTGGTGGTAGATTTGCTGGACTCCACCTCAGTTGGCATGGTGGGTCGAGTCCGCTGGCTTGAGTGGCAACGGCAACAGATGAAAAATCCATCAGATAAAATTCTGGTGCTGTGCTCGAAAGGCGTCCAGGCAAAGTGGAGAGCCTTGTGCGGTCAAGGCCAGGTGACGCTGAGGGAGGACGTTCTCTCCCCGACAGACGACATGCTCACCCCCTTTCTCCACCTTTTCCTACCAGACCTGCACCAGGCAGGCATGCTGGGCAAATACATGGTGGCTTACTTTGATGACATCAGCAGCGAGCAAGACATACCATCGGTTTTTGACATCGCAGTCAAATACAAGCTGATGAAGCATTTTGAAGAGCTGTACTTCCGCATTGTAGACATTGAAAAGTATCAGCCAGGTCAGGTCAACCACATCGGGGGCATCGGTGGGGATGAGTATTTCAACTGTCCCTCAGGCAGAGACCTGAAGAATGCCATCGAAACTTTCCAGGCCTACCAGTTGGAAAATCCCGATTGGTTTGAGAAGGAGTGTGTGCGCAGTGAGGAGGAGGTCGTGACTGAGGCCAACCTGCTCATTGAGCCCATGCAGATCCCTCCAGTCCTACAATGTGTTCCTCTAATCAGAGAGGGCGCTCCTGTCTACATCCATGAGGTGGAAATCGCTGAGAATGGTAACAGTGTTCATGTCCTTACACCTGAGCTGAACCCGCAGCACCAGGTGTCGTCAGTGGTAGAACTTCAACCAGTAGTAAACCCTGAGTGCAGACATCAGTATCCATCAAACCTGTATCCTCACAGTCCAAGCCCAGAATCTCTCTACATAGTTGAGCCTGTTTTGAACAGGCTGCCCTCACCAAGACAGAACTTTGTCCCCCTTGAGGAGGAGCCACTGTATCAAATTCCCACTGAGGATGATGAAGAGGACTCACTACAACCTAGAAGCGAACCCTCGGTTGATCGGGACCCGAGGAACTCAGCTCTACAGAACTCCTTTGACTCGAACCATCCAGAATCCTCATGTGCAAACACGCAGAGTGACTATTTCCCTCCATCTAAAATCTTCCACTCCGAGCCTGTGGAGATGGATGATGATGAGGTTCTGGAGCCCAGAGGAAACAGTGGTCCAAACAGTGGATCTGATCAAGGCTACATCTCCAAAATGTCCTCCCAGCATGAAGCACCTTTCAAAGCGGATCCACTGGTGGCTCTGGCAAGGCTGCAGGAGGAGCTGTTTGAGCAGAATCTCAGATACTCTGACGAAGGTCCTGAAGGGAACTGATGCTCACAGTACCGAAAGTACCCAACTTTCAATTACTTTATTCAGTGACATTATTGATACCCACAAAACAGTAGCCCCGTTTACACAGCCTGTTCAAGATGGTATTGTTGCACCTTTGTCCCTCCTTGCCATTCTGTATAAAAGGATCGTTGCTCTGCCTTTAAGCCTTCACGTGCTATCTAAAAGCACCATGGGGGCAGCATTATGCCGGGGCTTCTTAACAGCAATAGAGCAGAATCTGTATTTAAAAGGGGCTAGTAACTGCCTAGGGGCCCCAGATTCTCAGGGGGCCTTAAAGTTTCAGGTCCACAATTTGGCAATAACTTAAACTAATTCTAAACTGAGAGAATGGGAGCCTGAAGGCAACACCTCGTAGAGATGTAGCTCCAAGAAAATGTAGTTCAAATCTAGTTTTCAATCCTCTTTTTACTACATACATTTGTTCTTAATCAGGTTACCCCTAACTAATACATACACATAGTTGACTAGTCAATCTGCATGAATAATGTTGGATCTAGAACGACAGCCTTCGTCTTTGGATCTGAGGGACTGAAAACAAAAAGTGAGGTTTTAAATTTGTTTTTTTTGTGCATTGATACAAACAATGAAAGTATTCCTGGTTAGAGGAGGATATATCACATGTAATTTTTTTATCAGTGTGTTTGTGTTGTGAAATTTTCTTTGAAGGTCTTTGTTAAATACTAATTCTAACAGCACTTATCTTTGTTTCAGAGTCAATCATTTTCCTCTTTTGTAAAAGAATGTGTAACAAATAAACACGTACAGTACTTTCCTCAGATTTATTTCAGGTTTCAACCACATAATACTCTGACTTACATCTACAGTACATAGATTGGATTATATCAGTACAGATATACACCACACGACTTTATGGTACAGGTATAGAGTCCTATGTGTAAACAACAGCGATATTCTTTCCCTGTAAACAAGTTTAAAGAAAAAGGAAAACCCATGTGTTTTAAGGTACGAGTGTTCAAATTGTACACGTTGCCTAATTAAGAAAAAACACAAACATGAATCTGTGTAGCAGGATTGGCTCCTTTGAAGACCCATGTCCATGAAAGCCTTTGGTAGTTTCAGTGTCGTTATGCACTGTGCTTATTCATGCAGGTTAAAGGCCCACTATATTTAAGTTTAAAGTTTCATGTAAATAAATGATCCTGCTTGTGATTCAACTATGGTAAAGGTTTATGTGCAAATCCAAATACAGATTTTTAAAGAGCCTTTCCATCAGCATACAGTGCATACGCAAAGGTCCAGGAGATTACTGGCACAAGGAAATTATACAAAATAGTATAGAATATAACATTTTTAATACTTTGGCAAAGATATGATAAGCAACAAACAAACAGAAGCCGTTCTATTCTCAGTGCAATATGAGAAACAAAGCAGTCAGCATGTCATATTGTTTGTACAGCAGCATCTCTGTGATCTGTAACCCCCCCCACAGAGAGGTCAGAGGTCAACTTCACAGCGGCACCCTGATGTCTGCAGCGTGAATAAACAACAGCTCAGTTAAAAGATCTGATGAGATTCAATGATCCGGGAGAGGGAAGTTCAGCCTCGACTTTGACTTTCAACAAAAATAATCTGCTGATGTCTCAGAGTTTTCAACCACATCTCATGGTCTACAGCACCGGGTGCAGTCGTTGTCATGGAGACACTTCTGATTCCATCATGTGACCTATATGGAGCTTCATTCATGTAAAAACAAGGTGACATTTTATTGGTGGACAACTGAGGAAGTCTGCTGTTGTGTCTATCTACCCCCCATGTACAACCACTTATTACTAAGTGACTCAAGTTTCACACTAAGGTCACGTGATGACACCTGATCAAACTTTGGGGAAGACTGTGAGATGTTGTCGAGAGCTCTGGAAAAAGCAAAGTTGTCCTTCAGGTTATTTTGTCAAACTATTTAATTATCTGTTTAATCTTTCTAAATAACAATGACTATTATCAGTTATTATCATCTAGACCAGTGGTAACCAACCTGCGGGCTGGGGTCCACTGATTGGCCGCGAAGGTATCGCAAGTGGACAAATCATTTGCAAAACAGTATAAATAAAGAAATAATAATAATAAAAATGATCTTAAAACTTTCTCTTTTTCATTTATGTTGCTGCTGTCAGACCACATCATACACTTGTTTGCTATCTCAGTCTGATTGTGCACTAAAAGGAGAATCAAAATGGATAGCTGCTTAGCAACAGGAAGAATTAAAAAGAAGAGGAGAGTCAAGAGACAGATGGTGAGTTGACAAGTGATCTCTCCCCCATCAAACAAAAAGGAATATTGAGCTTCCCCTGCTTTCAGTTTAGTCCTGAATGTTCAATCACTATAAATAAAAAACATGTTCTGAAACATGCTCTGAAAACATGTTAGCATTATTTGGTCTCCATATGTTATGGAGTCGAATGTGGGCCACCAACATTTTTTGAAATTTTCAAATGGGCCATCAGGTGGAAAAGGTTGGGAACCACTGATTTAGACTAAACAATCCATGACACTGCCTTCAGCTGAACTGACTGAACACGAGTCTCGTCCTTTTCCCAGCTGACCTGCAGGCAGCAGCCTGTTTGGCCTCAGGCAGCTCTCTGGAGGACGTACACCCACGACATGATAAGTGGTTTGAGAATAATTAATAGATGTGTCAGACAGACACGATAAGGGACACAACAGCGACACCCGAGGACGATGATCTGTGTCGTAATGACTGACAGCTGCAGGTCAGAGCTTTCAGGGGAAAGTGGAGGGATTCATAAACCGACAATTCAGCTGCACAAAATACTAGAAATTCACTGTCTCTTTAGGATTCGATTGGGTTGAACATCTTAGTTTTCCTGCATGGAATTATTGTTAAAGCTTCAGAAGATTTTCACATTATGGTGTCGATATGAGCCTTTAGATCCCATCTCAGTCTAAAATGTGAATATAACCTCTATGGAATCCAGTCTGCAGACCCCGACACCAGGCTGTGTTTGGCTCTACTCAACCCTTTTGACAGCACCAATTCTTTAAAGTCAGTTTGATTGTGAGGACCCTTTAAGGTAAAATGAACAATTCCCTGATTTTGGCAAAGTGCACAATAATAAACACAAATCTCCAAATGTACGCGTAGTGTGTTCTTCTGAATATGTAGAACGCTAGTGGGAGCTATAAACATCCTCACAATGTATCTTTACATTTAATCCAAGATGAAGTTCATTTTAAATTGATTTAAACTGAGCTCTTCATCCTTGCTGATGCTACCTAACACCCAGAACCATGAGAGCAGAACTGGCCTGAGACCAGGCTAACCTACATCACTGCAGCTCTGCTGGGGCTGGGTCAAACAACAGGTGACTTATTTGTGAAGTCACGCTTGCTGTTTGCATGTTTGTACGGTGGCCCTGACAGCTCAAAGCACTGTAACTTTTTGACTCTCTTTACCTGCAAGTCCAATATACTTTGCATCATTTTCTAAGCAAACTGCGTGTTTTGAGATTGGTTTCCTCCTCTCAGTCCATTTCAATACAGCATGAAAATCACCAGAAGAGGCTTGAAACCTGCACATCTTTAATCCTTCACCTTGAATATAATACATGTCAGCGTGTCAGCCTGGGAGGTAGGAGAACACGGCAATACACTGTGCACAGCAAAAATGCAAAGTATTTGTGATCTGTAGTAAAAGGGCTCAAATTTGACTACAACTCTGGTGTTAGACATTTATCTCATCAAGTCCTGACCCCCTCAGGAGTCATCTTACACTGCTCACAAGGCACAACTCACATGAACCTGTGGCCTGCAGACACTGATCGCTCAGAGAAGCAAAGAAAGATGAGGAATTGCACATATACCCTCAGTGTGATTAAATCCACCTCAATGAACCATGAGTTCACTCACAACTCTTAAATAATAGGCACTGAAATCAGACTGAACCCCTCTGACCCATATTGCACAAACTCTTGACAGTACATTATCCTCAGTCACATAATTCACTTTGATTACTATCAGCTTAGGGAGGAGCTCATCGTGGGGGACGGTGACCATGCCATGACAAACTGTACCTACTGTTCAAACATAAATATAGTGTCACTCTAGTAAATCTACTGCACGGACTCACTGAGAGGGAGTTCTTGTTCCCGTGTTGCTCCCAGCAGCACCAGGATGCAGATTGTCTCCCACTACAACTCATGTTTACATACACTCTGAAAAAGGTGGATTTTCAACACGACCTGTTGGATACATGTGTGTGTGTCACTTTACGTTTGTTTAAGGTGGTCCACGGATTATTTCAATGAAACAGTCTGACTTTTTTTTAGTTCGACTATTTGACTTCCTTAAAATGATGTTGATGTCGTCTCTGTGCATCCAGTAGAGGCAGGTCTGGGATCTGGTTAGCCTAGCTTAGCATAAAGAGTGGAAGCAAGGCGGTAATGTTATCCAAGCTCAGATCTGGTGGCAGCAGCAGCAGCAGCAGCAGCAGCTTGGTCCTGAGGACAGAGCTTCAGAGATGCTGTGTGAAGTCTGGTTGCACAAAACACCTTATATTTTCCATTTAAGTATTTCACTTAAGGTTTCATTTCTCCTTAGCTGAGGGTGTGGCACAGAAACTCTTCATTTTCTTCATCTATCACCTTAAACTCAGTCATGTTGCAGTTACGACAGAGTCAGAGGTACCTTTAGTCTTATTCCTTCCTTTGGTTGCTAAGGTCTTTTGTGCAACGGTTTAACTGACTTGATAAGATGACGAAGTAAAGAAGAAAACCTTAAATACTAAGTGAACATTTTAAGGAAACCTCAAGGAGAAGACTTAAGGTCTTTTGTGCAACTGTTTTTAATTCAAGGAAAATCTTAACTTAAAGTTTTTTGTGAAACCGGCCCCTGGCTCTTTAGCTGCCAGATGTTCCACTTTCTTCACCAGTAGTTTAACACTGAGTAAATATTGGGCCTCATGCAAGAACCAGCTGCACAAACTGATTTTCACCAATTTCTTCAGTGGTGTGGACCTTGTTGTACGAGTCATGAACAGATGAACTACACTTGGTTTCCTCTGAATGAATTTGGAGTATGCATTGTACCACATTCAATGGGTCTCGATCTTTATCAGCTGCAGCTGTGGGGCAGCACGGTGGTTAGCACTGTTGTCCCACAGGAGGTTCTGGGTTTGAACCCGGGGGCCCGGGGCCTTGAGTGGATTCCCTCCAGGCGCTCCAGCTTCCTCCCACAGTCCAAAGACATGCAGGTTTAGGTTAATTGGCGACTCTAAAGTGCCCATAGATGTGAATGGTTGTTTGTCTCTATAATGATAGACTGGCATCCTGTCCAGTGTGTGCCTTGCCTAGTGTCAGCTTGGATTGACTCCAGCACCCCCGCAACTCTATAAGTCCTATATATCCTATAAGGATAAGCGGTATAGCTAATGGATTAGCTGCGGCTAATGGAAGTGGAGTTTGGCAGCTGATTAAACCAAAACAATGAGCTAAAAGAAGCTAAAGAGAGCTGAGAGGAACTGGGGATAATTCTTTGTGGGTTCCTCACAAAGTACTGATTACTTGAGCTTTATGTAGAAGTTATGATTTAGTAGGTCCAGACTTCATATCTCGTATCTGACGTGGTGAGAGACTGTCATAATGACTTTGTGTGCCGTACTGAAAACTGTTCTGTTTTTATCATTACTATTTTTTGTCCTTTTTGACTGAATTTCGTCAGAGAACTGAGATTTCATGAAATACTGAGGAAGTAACAGAGTTGACACACAGGTGTTGAAAATGACACCAACTTTTTCAGAGTCTA